TCTGGTAGCATGAGGGACAGATTCTTTTCTTGAGATGGCTTTCTTATCCATGGTCAGGCAACTGACCAGACAGGATCCTGGGAAAGCCTGCTCCTTCTTCAGTGGCTTCCCAGATGCCTGCTGTAGAGCAGATGCATTATTAACAAATGAGGTAGAAAAGTTTGTAATGCCTGGGAACTCCAAACTTCCCAACAATCTGAAAGCAGACACCTTTTCCCTGTACCTTTGTGTTAACATCAACAGGCTTTCAGCAGCAATCCTGGTTCCTGGTGACCTGCCCACCCTTTTATTTCCTTGGCTCATGAGCAGGGAAGTTGGAGAGAAGCAAATGATTGTTTAAAGCCCTGCCTGAGCAGGCACGAAACAAGCAGGATGTGTTTGCACTCACAGTGAGCAAGGACACTGCCACTTTTTTTTTCTGAAAATCTGCAGAGGTTTTCTATTCTAGGAAAAAATCAAAACCACCATTACCACCAACCGAGAAACCCAGCAGCAGTAAACTAAATTTGAGTAACCTGAAAGAAGCATTTAGAGCAATATAGGTAAATACAATTATGACATCTGAAGAGGTCCATTGCCTTATGGTGTTGGAGCACAGCTTGAATACTTGTTTTACTGAAAGAGGTCACTAAGACTGTGCCCACAGGTAGGGAATTTGAATATATGCAAATTAGCAAGCCACTCCTCCCACAGCCAATGGCTCTGTAAATGATTTTTGGTGCTGTGTCCAGTGAGGCATTTGTCTGTGCCACCCACTATGGCCGTGCTTCCCTCAGTTCCAGGCATTAAGTGCTGCTCCCTCCCGTGCCAGCATTCATTTACTCTGCACGCCTTTGTTCCTGCAAGAGCTTTCTAACTCACCCTAAGTAAAACTAACCACCAACCACATGACCTTTCATGTTTGTTTCTGTCCGTGAGACCACAGTACCCACGGATCTATGGTATCTCTGCCAAGCTGGATGATATGCCTTGAAAGCAATATTCATGTAGAGACTTGCAAGGATGCACATAATTTGCTGCTATCAGGTGCGTGCCACTATTTATTGCTCAGTCTCTCATCTGGTTTGCTCAATGTGTGGCCCAACACTGCTGCCTAGGAAACAGCTGTCAGTTGTATAGAATGCTTTTAAAAACAGTTTTCTGCATGTAAAAAAAATAGGAAAAGGTAGTACCCATGAAGCCTGGATGCATATTTTCCTCATTCTTAACCAGGATGATGGCAGGCTAATCTGAACTTCCTCACTTCTTCAGAGTGCATTCCTAAAATGGGAGATCGCCTTTCATCCTGCCAGTGTTGCAAATGCTACAGGTGTGGAGTGGATCCTTTTTGGCTGGAAGCGCTTACAGAGCAGATAATGCCACTGTAAAACACTTAAAGCACGCCCAACCTGCAATTATGGTTTATTTCATGGGGTTTAATTGCGCTCATCAGGAAAGGCAGCTGGATGAGATACTTGGATAATATCCTGAGGGTCCAACATAACAAACAGCTCCTGGCTTTCAGATGCCTTTTACTGTACTCATCCCTCAACCATCCTCACTTCTCGTTGGGATCCATAGGCCCCCATGGTTTGGGTTGGAAAGAGGCAAACAGCTGCATCCAGCCCTGGATATCTCTTTCTCTGACATCTTTACTTCTCTATGTGGCAATAGGGTCTTGCCTTCACAAGAGCTGAGCTGTCTCGCCACCTTTCGCAAGACACCAACCTGTGCTTGTGACTGAGGCAGTGCCGCCCATGCCCTTTCTGCTGTGTGGAAAAGGATTGGACACCAACTTCCCAGACTGCAGAGAAGCAAGGCAGGCAGCTTCTGCACGATGGAATAAGAAATCAAAACAGTCTTCTAGACAAACATCCATCTCTGATTCATGAACTTTTATTACACCCGTTAAAGTTTCTAAAAGTAAAAAGGGGGAAAGCACTTTTTTGAGTAAATGCTTTGAAATAAAGACCAACAAAATTTTAACAACTTTCTTTGAAGCAGCTGTTAGCTTTGAAAAGACTGTTCCCCTCAGCTGAAAGTAACCTATGCCATTAAAAATTTCATTTTGGACTTAATTTTATGTACATTACTTACAGTTGGTATTTTTATAGATTTAATACCTTTTTTTGGTCAAGGGAGTTCATTCTTGGTGCTTGGTAGCATAATTGCGTTAGTCATGTATGTTTATTTACATTGCTCTAGCAGCGCAACTACAGGATCAACTTCAGAGTTAGAACTGGAAAGGTTTAAAATTAACATAGGGATTCCCCTCAAAGATGAAAACAAACTTGTTTTCAACTTAAAAAAAGAAAATTTCAGACTGGATTGTCAGTATTCTACCACAGAGGAGACTTAATACTGTATTCATCAAGGCTTCCCCAAACAGCAAACCTTCCCAATCAACTCTATAAAATTTATCTCCCACATCAAATTAGATTTTGCCCCCCTCCCCAAAAATTAGATATGCATCTTTTGGGTTTAAAAAAAAAAAAAAAAAAAAAAAAAGTATTTGCACTTTCCATTTCCTTCAGTGCAAGTTTCATCCAAAAGCTTACCAGTGTTATTTCCTCCCACTTAGAGCAACTTAGGTTGAAAGTAGTAAAAGAGAGGATGAGAAGCATAGCAAGACAGACACCTCATTTGAAGTCTCCCTCCAGTGACAGAGGACTTCATGAGGTTTCTACTACCAGCCTTTGATAGACAATCATGCACACACAGCGTGCCTGGTACTGGCTGGGCAGGAAAAAAACCCAATTAAATGGAACTACAAGATAATCTTATTTTGCTTACAAGGCTAAATTATGAAAAAGATTGAGGAGAAATCTAGATTGGCCTGCTACTTGTACTCAAGTGGAAAAAACAGGAGCTCCAGTTGCAAAATGGCCTTCTCCCATTTCGAAACTTAGGATGATGGGGAATTAAAAGATTAACATCAGCAACCCATTTTAGACAGCATACGCTTTCCTCAATCCATCTTTGATTTTGTCACTCTGATAATTTAATACAAATGTCTTTTAAAAAGATTGAGCGTTTGAGATTTTGAATTTACTTTGAGAATAAGTATCTTGGCACTATTTTTCCCTCACTATTATGCTGGGGGCAAGCTGCACACTCAAGCCTTCCCTATCACAGAGCTCCAACATAATAGAGTGATTTTCTATACAGCTGCGTGCTCAGTGCTGGTACAGAAAGACATCTGCCCTAACTAGTACTTCTATTGTTTCCCACTAGGAAGAATGAGCATTGCTTGGCTCCTCAGGATTCTCAAGCATTTCCAGAGAGCACAAGCACTGGTTACATACTGGCAGTACCTCCAGCAACAAAGGCAGGTTTTGTCAATTTAATCTCACTTTCATTGTAGTTTGAGGATACTGGGTCAGCTGACAATACTCAGTCCAATTTTTTACATCCTTTTTTACCTCTGCCCTAAGCTGCTAAAATGGAAGGACATGTTGCCTGCTCTGCTGTCCTAAAAATTCAGAGACTCCTGCTGAGCTAATCTCAGGCTTAAAAAAAGAAAATCCCAAACCAAAAAACCCCACCACACCAAAGCCCTGCAAATGAATTTATCCATTTCTCTTTATCCTCTCAAAGAAGTTAAAAGCTACAGGCTTTGTTGATTCTCCATTTATTTTGAGAAATATAAAATATGAAAACTAGTTTACAGTTCTGGCACAAAAAATGATGACGCAATAAGCACAAAGTTTCTTTTTACAAATAACGCTATATATCTTTACCATTTAAAAGTGTCTAGTTTTTCACAGCAAAAAAACTTTATTCACCTATGTATTTTTTCCTTATTAAAATATTAAATCTATTTAAATTGCACATGAACACCTTGGTGAAGTAAAATGATAATAAATCTGTATACAAAGCAAACACTCATTGGAATGGAAAAGACTATCAAAGCCTAAACTGAATCTTAAAGGCTGGCCAAGAAAACAAGAGACAAGACACCAACTGATATGGCACAAGTGATTAAACTATCGACAATTAGACAATAAGTAGAAAGTAAAGCCTATTTGAAGATCTTCAGGGATCTAATACACTGCTAGAACATTTTGATGCAGAGGTTTTGTAACATTTAAACTGGCAAGAGTTTTTCAACTGCTAAACATTTTTCCACAAGATTACAAGGCATCTCCTTCACTTTATATTGGACCTTAAAATGAGTATATTGGTAGATAAGAGAATGTGCATAAAGAAAACAAAACTTACACCAAAGGTTGCTGTAGTTGACAATTTACAATTTTGACAGTGAAACAGTTGAGAAGTTAATCAGCTAAAATTAACATCATTAATTTGCAACAGCAGAAACGAGAACAATGAAAAAGATTATTCTTGCTTTAAAAAAACATACCTTGTTCCAATCTCCACTGCCGATGGGTTCAACCTACAGTTTCACTGTCAATACAACCACTTACACTATGCAAAATCAGGTCTGCAACACTGAAGTGTCTGCAGATCAGGGCCATAACTTTCACCTGGTAGTCTCACTTATCCAGACACTTGCACTGAATTCTATCAGTCATTACTGGGAGGTGAGTGGTGATCCAAGATGTCCAACCTGAAAGCTTTAGAGGCCCAGCTGCCATAGCGTTGCATGTGCTCTGACCTCCTGGGTCATGTTTCTTAAATGCAAACCCTTTAACATTCCAAGTCAAAGATCCAAAAATTCAAGTATCCAAAGGCTTACTGGTTTTAAGTCCTGACCTTCAAGCTTGTGCTGTTACCAAGTCTTTTACATAAGCATTTTTTTTCAAACTACAGCACAACCAATTCACCCATTTTGGTATCTTTTCCAGATGGTCAAAAGAGTATTTGATTTGCACCAAAACAAGAATAACATAGATCATAGGGTCTGAAGAAGTGTTCCAAGGCCAGGCTGAATGGAGCTTTGAGCAACCTGGTCTAATAGGTGTCCCTGCCCATAGCAGGGGGGTCGGAACAAGATGATCTTTAAGGTCTCCTCCAACCCAGACCATTCCATGATTCTATGATTAGCATTGTTATGTTGCTTTAAGAAAAACAGCAATGTTGACAATGGATGTATGATAAATGCTCCTTTATGTCATTCACATTAGGCAGCACAGGAAATACAAATGCACACTAGATTTCTTTGCACTGAAGCCAAGCTGTTTAAAAATGCAGTAAATACACTATATTCTCAAAATTAGTATTATATTATAGGCATGCATAACTTCACATATCTAAACAAAATCAAGAGGCAGGACCTAAAACATAGGCTTGGTGAAGAATTCAACAGTGCCTCAACATTTGTAAGCTAATGAATTTTCACCACTTAAAATGAGAGTGCCAGTGTGATCCTCTCCAAAAAATATGTTTATAACCAGGTATTAAAGCAAGTTTAGTTTATGTGAAGAAAATTTGAAAAGTGATCAGCCTAATTCTGAGAGGGAAAAAATTAGCCTCAATAAATTGTATTCTAAGGTTTTCCAGTTAGCCACCTATTTTTTATCTCAGTTTAATTGAATACCTCTTCTTAAATAGATATAGAGTATCTTAACGAAAGCAATCAGTTTTGCCTATTTTGGTTGTTAAATATTACTTTCAAAGAAGTGAAAGTGCCCAGTTTTACACATAATTTTAGATTCAGAGTACTGAATGAAAATGGAAATATGACATTGAAAACACAGCAGTGCTAACAAATACAAAATACGCAGCTTTTGAAAAAAAAAGCAGCTCACAAGGCACTTACTATAGTGGTCCATTAAATAAACTGTATACATAGTGCACCCTTAAAACATCATTGTTACGCATCAAGCTTTTTCAGTGTTAAACAAGATTTATTAGAAACAACCACTGGGTTCTGTGTGTTCTGAAGCAGTTATTGAGCAGCCTTGTTTCATATAATGTAAATGAAACAAATTAGAAGTGGGTCATATAAGGAGAGTATTTTATGGAATTTCTCATGTGAAAGCTTTTCCGTGCAGTGATATAATGCAGTGTGGAAGGCCATTCTGACACACACCTCTCCCCCCTCCTCACCCACACCTCTCCCCACTCCTGACCCCTCTTGCCCTAAAAAGCTACATTCCTGCTACTGGAAGAGCCCAGCATTTTAATTACAATCGATTCTATCATCAACTACTGGTTTGGCTCATCATTTGCAGCTTTGAAATTAATATGCATGAAGTAGCATTAAGCCACTTTCCTCTCCAGAGCAAAAACTGGCAGATTAAGTACCTGTAAAAATTGTACATTGTTTCAATGGCTTAAAATGCTGAGTCATAACTGACACACTTGATACTGGTTTGATTTCTTTCGGTTTTGTTTTGTTTTTGTTTTTTTGTTCACAACATACTTCAAAGGCCAGAAGAGCTACAGACCCAATCACATCTCCTAGCATTTCTCTGTGGGTACGGGTTCTTCATCTCCCTTTAGAAAGTACGCATATATTAAACCATACTTTTTAATTACTCCCACACTGAGAAAGCTTGGATTATACAAACATATTTGAGATCTTCAGGTTTCCACAGTTGTATGTTGGACAGAATAAGGAAAGCTGTCATTGACAGAAGGATCTCTAGATTGGCCAAAGGAAAAGTTAACATTCTAAATCAATAGCACTCCCAAAACGTTAGCAAAAGGTACCAACTTGTTCAGGGACTTCAATCTACTTCAGCCCAGTCTGTCATGGTACTTATTTCATCCATAAGCACCAAAGTGAGAAAACTTAAGTATTTGTCCAGAATTACCTCCCATAGTCCATTCTCAAATTCTATTCTGCAGATCACTTACAAGCTCTCCAAATTCTTTCCAACTCAAATCACCAAAAAAAAAAGGTATCTAATCCTCATTCATACTTTTGCATAGTTTGGCATTTTCTGGATTTGTACTTTTGTTTTTTCTTTCATAGCTTTTGAAGGGACTCCTCTGTCACACATGCAAGTACCTCCAGCCTAAATCCTTCAGGAGCAAAACAGAGTCCCACTTAAGCAGCAAGCTGTCCAGGACCGCTTGACATTCTTCTTTCCACTCAAAGTAAAGATTACTCAGTTTTATCTGCACTTTCAGATTTTTCCCTTTGCATCATGCAGCGACGAACTATGCTGTCAAAACTTCCTAGGTAAAATAGGCCAATGATGCGAAAAATGCCCATGCAAACAACCTGGAAACAGAGAGAAACAGCTTTCAATTCATTTTGGATCCTGAATTGCACCATATTATTGAGTCATAAAATTAAAAAAAATAAAAAACAGTTCTAGGCAGGCTTTTTATATAATCTTCAGAAAACAAACTTACCAAACCAAGCTAACTAAGTAACAGTTCAGGACTAAGCAGCATGGAATACTCTTAGCTCACTCACCGACTTGCTGCTTCAGCTTGAAAATACTGCTGCCATGTAGTAGTAAAGCCAAGTGCCACAGTATTAGCAGCCATTTGATGAAAAGCTAATCTGTGTCTGCATAAAATTCTACATCTTGAAATTACTTTAAACTATCAGAAATTATGACAACAGGTACTTCCCAAATCCTACCTGCTGAAGACCTTCAGTAATAGAAGTGACTGGTGACATTCCACTTGTCAATATTGACAGCATGTAACCATCTGATCCAACCGAGCTGTTGAAGTTCCCTTGCTGGATGGAAGGATTAAGAAAACAAAAAGTAATTTACTCAGTTGAGGCAAATCATGATGTGTTTTATTTCAACAGCTACTTTTGATGGACACAGATAACTGATACCACTAACAACAAATATTCGAATGCAAAAAAATATCACCGCGATTAAGAAACAAAATACTCAAAAATATTTTGGGCTGTACAGCAACATTCCAAAAGGCATTCACTTAAAAATGGAAAAAGGAAGCTAACTTCTCTTTAGAGAGAGCATGCTAAATTACTACAGATTTTTACGAGATATAAAGGCTGTAAATTTCTTCTTGAGGCATGCTTACTTCTATAGAAAATACATGACCATATTCACAGCTGTAAGCAGATTTCAAAAGCAGAATGATACCCTCACTCTATCAGATCATCAACCACTACTGTATGACAAATGCAGCTTGCCTTTTGTTAAAATTAGCTTGCTTATCACATGAGATTTGGCAAGGGGGTGTATTTCAAATGCTAGGTAGCAGGCTCTCCTTCACCTACATCAAGGATTTCTAACTGCAAGACACAGCTTGCTAAGAATTTCAGAAGGGAGAAAAGAGGAGGAAAAACACCAGGAAGAAACCCCAAACAACCAAACAACTTTAATTATTTAACAGTAAAACTGCAGTTCTACAGTTCTGACTCCCAAGGCTTCTCTCATTTGTTTTCATTTGACTTTATGCCAGAAAACTGACTTTCTGAAACATTGGAGGACTAAATCTGTGGAATGTGGAAGTGAAAGGAAAAGGTGGAGTTCCTGAATCAGGGTTAGGGGTGAATCTATGCAAAGCAGTAGAGGTTATTAGATCTGATTATTTCCCAACACACACACTTGGGAATACACAAACACCTTCTCATTTCTATTTCAGTCTCTCTGCTGATGGCCAGAGTGCATAAAGACCATGTCTGAACTAATATAGGATCCAAAGTGTAGAAAGTATGGTATAGATATATTAGATGCTTGAGATAAGAGATTAGTTTTCCTTAATACCAGAGGAGAATACTGTGTAGAGGTAGTATTTGCTTTTAAAACAGACCTAATTTTGTGTTTATGGGCTCTATTTGTGAAAACACCGTAAAAACTTCAGAACTGAACACCTGCTGTAGATGTAGACCATGTTGAAGATCAAGAGTGATTGGAACTGCAAAGTAATTAGAGTTTAAGATTCAATGGCTGCTTTGTGATCATGAAATTTCATGTTTGTTTCTATTCTGAGGTGTTTTATTAAGAATGCAGGCATTCCCTAGCACAAAACACTGAAAAAAAAATCCTCAGAAAGGCAATGCAGTAAGAACAGCATTTTATGTATTTTAATCACCCATAAATCACATCCTTCAGATATTAAAAGCCAAAAAAGGTCAACTGCCTTCCTTTATTGTAAAATTATTTTTATATGAACTCATTTTCAAGAAAAATAAGAGAAAACAAAACAAGCTTTTGAGGTTAGACAAATGGTATTTGATATATAAAATGTCAGTAATTTAGAGCTTTCAAACCAGTCATAATCCATCTTTCAGACATTGCATCATACCAATGCATCATTTTATTCTGTCTGCGTACAACTTCAGATACCTTTGACTTCCGATGGACTGTGTAAAATCATTTGTGGGCACAGTGGCAAAAGAAGAATAAAGAAAACAGCTCTAGTTCAAACTAACCTAAGAGAACTGTTTTGTTGTAATTGGTTTTGCACTTAGCTTAGCCATTATCTTACAGTCTCAAGCAAGCATGACATGTGATCCTAGTCTCTTCAACACAGAACATGGTCGAAAAACACAATTTACTTACTATGGCATCTTTCACTATAACTCTGGCAACTTGTTCTGCTTGGCAAACAGATGAGGTTTCAGAAATCAGCTTCGTCTCTAAGGGCTTTAAGAGAAAAACACCAATTTAAGTTTGACTAACAACACACAGGAGAGAAAAACACGAATGTCAAATTTTAGGTTTGGGTCCTTTGTCACAAATGACATCACTGCTAGCAAGGGGTATCATATTATCACCTAGAACACTGCTTTAAACAAAGGCATAAGCACGCTCATAAATATCAGTCCCATTTTACAGAGGGAAATGACAACACTTCCTTGGTTAGTACTTTTTTGTATATGGTTTATTACTACTTTCAAAGGGTACTTTTTCCCCAAGAATTTTATTTTCAATAGAAGACATCAAAATGCTTACACTATTCAAGATCTATACTGGTTCATTTATGGTTTTTACCAGAAATGAAGTAAAAGATAGGCCTGAAATATTTTAAGATCCTATAAAACAGCTTGCCTTATTTTTTTCAGGCTTACTCTAATACTAGGATTATTATTTTTTAAAAAAGCACTTCTAGGGTAAGGATGAGTAACTTCAGGTTCATCATCACCAATGCCAAATACTAAGGTAATTAAATTTCATAGAAAGGGGCCTACTTCCCAATATCTATAGAATTATGAGTTCTGATTTCATCAACCAAGCTCACTGAATTTTATTTTTTCCTAGTATGTGCATTTTAAGGGTGGCCAAGAGGACATCAGTGTCTGCCAGCAGAAATCACATAAAAAAACCTTTTACATGCATTCCTACAGTGATATGGCTCATGTCATCAGATCTCCATTTCACAGCCCCTTATTTACTTCTGAGCTTACTGACCAGCATCAAATAAATCTGAATGAGATATAGGGATATCAACAGTAATTCAAATACTTTAAATCTGGGAAAAAAATAGCAGCTGTTCAGGATGAACAGCTAAAGTTAATGACATGTTGGGAATAAGGCAGGCAGAAATCAGCTATTAAATGCTTGATCTGGCTACTCAGCTGGCCAAGGCATGGCTGTCATTTTTGAGGCAGCTACCTCAATGGAAAAAAAAAAGAAGGGAAAAAAAAAAAGAAGGGAAAAAAAAAGAAGGGAAAAAAAAAAGAAGGGGAAAAAAAGAAGGGGAAAAATGGAAGAAAAGAAGAAAAAAGAAGCTGTCTGGGAAAAAAAAACTTTCCTGATTAAACACAGGAAAGCTGTGATTACAGAGAAAAATTAGATGCGAGATAGAGGCATATGTTCTAAGTACTATTAAATACTAATACTAATTCAGTAGGATTAAATAAATTCAACAATAAATGAGTATCTGAAATGTCAGAGCAATGCAATATTGCAGAGATTTAAGGTATACTACCATGCTAGGAGCAGGTCATCTAAAGAGGTCATATAGGCTAAAACAAAGCATAATTCTCTCCTAAAAGATAAGACTTTTTTGACAAATGAGATAAATCTCTCTGAATCTCTTTCAAAGAGAAATCTTAGATGAACAGTATATTCTGCTGGTGCCTGCTGGCTCCCTGAAATAGGCTATTATGAAGGAAAAAATCCTAGAGAATATGCAAGCTATACAAGTATCTGCAGATGTCTAATTCTGGCACTTTATGCGGATGTGTGGGAGTATACATTTAATACAGAATATCTGTATCAAGAAATGATGAAGTAAGAATTGTGTTATACAATCCCTACTGATTCCTATTCAAAGGGTGAAAGACAAAATGGAATTCAAACTCAATTTCCAATTATACGTGATGGTGCATGTTGAAAAGATGATAGCCTTAGATACCAGATTTCTAGTTCACAGTATGCAAATCAAAAATAAAGAGAATTTTTTTCTCATTACCTGATGCTGTAAGTCTGAACAGGGGGTGTGAATGTGATTTTTAGAATTATACTTCACATATATGGACATGGCAAATGACAAGGTGTGACTAAAGGTCAAACTTTCATTTTTAAGGTAATCCAAATGAAAAAGGCCTTGTCCTGCTGCTGACACATCCTTCTGAAAAGCGATACAGTCATTTCCACTATGAACACAGTGCCAGAGAATTTCCTGTCTACTGTAATACTACCAAACAGCCATTACTGAACTCTCTCATTACATGTATCATGTATTCATACAATATGATTTAGTTGCAGGCTCCACTGAAGGAACTGAGGTTTACTTTGATCTGGCACATCTATCACAACAGCCACACATTATCAAAGATGCAAAATAGGAATATTATTTTTGGTTAATTAAGCTTTAGTATTAAAACAAATAGTGATTTTACAGTTTACCGTCCCACACCAATATTGAGATTGCATGCAGGAATATTCCGCAATGTTTCAGATCTTAAAGGCAAGTATTAAAGCATCAGAATAAGAAACTACACAAAATTATCCTACAAGCTATATAACTGAGTAGTTAAAAACTGGTAAAATTGAAGTGTTTAAGAGTACTTCTTAAAATCTTAATATGCTTTAAAAATACTGATTTCAAGAACTGAAGGACAATTTACCTTTGTTTTACTTTCTTCTGCAAAGCCAGGAGTATCAGTATCTGGAGGATAGGCCACTGTTACGTAGACATTGTAAGGTTTCACCTGTGTTTTACAAAAGCATTAAGTTTTATCTTAATACTGACAGTCTTTACATTTCCCTTATAATTTCATCAGTATCTCTTGTAATTAAGTTCAGCAAGCATGAATTCAAATTGCTTCTAGGGTTAAATACTCAGCAATTTCAAGACTCGCAGCTTTGTCAACTGAGAAAGAAAACAGCAAAGATTTTAAGAAGGTAGTTGTGGTGCTTGTTCTAATAGAAGTCCCTAAAAACTCTACAAATTATTTGATGAATCCTGGTGATTTTAAAGACATTTAGTAAGAATATTAAAATAGTTTAGAACTATAATTTTACCAATTTCACTTTCTATAAAAAGATTAAACCACTGTCAAATAACAGTACCCAACACTTATAAACACAAGGCAAAAAAGGCTTTCACCAAGAAAAAAAACCAAAAATGTAAAATTTGAATTTTTTATCTTTAAGATGTATACTCAAGTCTCAAGGCTTTTCAACCCATGGTATAAACGTGCAAGAGGTCAAAGTCTAAGGAGACAAAAAAATAATTGGAAAATGTGAGGGAAAATGGAAGGTCTTACATCAAAGATTGTATTTAGTTATTTATTTGTACATGTCATGAAATTATATTGCTTAGTGCAATCCTATTCAAACTGCTACAATGCAAATCTGTACTCCAATACAAATAAAAAAAAGCTTTTAATGAAAATATCTAGAGGGCTATGATAAAGCTAAATGTTGTAAAACACTGACCATTTATGAGACATTCTGTATTGAAAACACTTCATGAAATACCACACCCATAAACACCCTATTTTCAGTCTTGAATAATTTAGTCTTCATGTATCTATCACCAGTCTGAGGAAAGACCCTGCACTCACAGTGTTCTACTCAGCAGACCAGAAATTATTAGAGGCAGTTTTACCCCACATTCTTATCCTGGTCAAGGCATACAACAGGGACTATGCAAGGGTCTGGAACCAAACAAAGGTGTTTTGTATATAAACACTTAATTACTCAAATATATGTTCTTGACAGGAAAATGACAAAAGTAATTTTCAAATCAATTTTATCTGTCTGACTGCAATGTACTTACTCACCTTGTTCCACTGAATAATGAAAATAGTGTTTGTTTGGTTTTGGTCTTAAACATTAGCTTAGATCACTGCAGGATATAAAGCTCATATATTCATCAAAATATAGAAGGGTGAGTTCACTGCAAACTAATTTTTTTTTTTTTGTGAAAAATCCTCTAATTCTAACTTAGGAGTTCTACAGTTTCATAAGGCTCAAATATCACTTACCATGGACTCTCAAACAAACTGGCAATCACTGGCCTGTCTCTCATGTATCCATGTGATATCTTCAATATCATTTTGCACTTAGAACCTTGAAGAAGGCCTTTTAATCAAAAGTCTTAAAAATCTAGTCCTTTAATTAAAATAAAAGATTAAAAAATTGTCTGCACAGGTGGTCATACTCAGTTTTAGGAACAGATTCAATCTATTCCATCTTACGCAACTGAAATCAGGTTAGTTTCTGCAAGTCATGCAGAGAAATAGGATTGTAATGCTGACAAATGAGGGCAAATAACACACAGATATTATCAATGCTGCACAATACAAACCCCCCCCAACCTATTTAAATTAAAATGTCCTGTGCTGACAGCTAACATAAAATTGTTTATAATCAAAATTACTTAAAATTATTGCACACATACCTCCATTTGCAGGGCTTCAGCCAACCCTCGAAGAGCAAATTTTGTTGGAGAATAAGCTGTATATCCAAACAGGCCTAACTGCCCAGCCTGAGATGAGACAAATACAATCCTTCCCATTCTGCGTTCCTTCATGGTAGCGATTACTGCTCGGCTCGGGTAAACACTCCCCAGGTAATTGACTGCCATTAATCTCTGTACAAACAATATCAGTATCTGAGTATTTGAGTCACAGATCCAGAATTCTTCAGCTGTTTGGTCTTATTTATCAAAAAACCCCTATTTCTAAGTCTGCTTTAACAATCAAGTTCACCAGATCTGTTCTGGCAAAAGAAACAACTGTTTTCTATTCTACAGATTCATAAACTGTTTTATAGCTAAAAATCTCACTCCAAGCCAAAAGAAATCCTGTAAGTCTTAATAGCATCCAGGATACTGATAGGACTGTGAACCATATGGGCTTGAAGGGAAAAAGAATAGTATTTCAGGGAAAATCTAACCTGAACAGCCTCCAGGAAGCAATCCATTTATGCATGATGCATGAAAACATACTGAAAGTTTAAAGAGCTTTCTAAAACAGGAAACAGGAAAAACGCTACGTATTTACACGTTTCAGAGATTTTATTCTTTGCCAGGATAAAGGGAAGTCTTTAATTTCATTCTCTACAAGACCTAAAACACAATAGCCTATACAAGCCATAAAATGGGTGATTCAAATTTATTATAAAATTATGCCCCTTTAGTATTTTCAGATGATTCAGCATTATCCGTAGATTAATGGAGGCCCGAGGGCTGCGGGCAAAAAGTAACCAAAACACAGGTGATTTTGGGGTTACTTTTTTGTCTTTTCATCAGAGCAGCAGCTTCTCAAGCTGAAACAACTTGTGCATCTCAGAATTGAAGTCTGATAACAGCTGCATTTTTCTTAAACAGGTTAAAAATATTTCTGAAAAATCTTCAACAGAAAAAAATGAAACTGTGTGAAATCGTTAGGGGAGAAGTTAGAGGCAACTCTTGCAAATCTGAAGATATTCTGACAGCTAGCACAAGTCAAGTGTAACACTGTTCAAGTCTGCAGACACAGGAATTCAATCTAATAATTAGAAGGTTAAAATAAGAAATTATCATATGATGAAATAAAAAAGTATGCTCACTCACTTCAAAAGAATTCACTTCAATATCCTCAAATTTTCCTGTAACTGATGTTCCTGCACAGTTTACAAGCATGTCAACTGGCCCCAACTTCTCCTGAGCCTGGAAGAGGGGACAGAGGTTAAGATATTCTTTATGAGGAAAGAACCTTCCTCTATCACCATACCAAATATGAAACTATTTCCAACACAAATACAACACACAGAAGTTTCTTCAGACATGTAGGTGAATCAGTTCTTTTCTCACCTGTTTTAGAACATTCTCCACCTGTTCGTAGTCTTTAGACACATCAACGGAAATACAAAGTACAACCTAGAAAAGGAAAGTGAAAGAACATTTTCACAACACATTACATCCAGTAATTGTTAACTTAGAGACTTTCAAAATGAAACAAGCCCAATGTCATGTCTTTTCCACAAAAAAAAAGTCTTTTTGACAAGATATTCTGCACTTCTTCAACACTGGAGAAGCAATTTCTGCTACCTCAAGCTCCTCCCCCTCACACACAGGTTCTAGTATAATAAAGATTACATTAAGAACAAATAATCACCTCATGATCTTCAAAGTGTCGACTCATGTACAAAGTACAGTTTTTAATTTGAAACACTATTGACTGAGTTATTTATATGACATTTCGTAAGAGCTATTTTAACTGGGACAATCAAAATTCCCCAATGATATATTTAACTTTCATCAGCTAAACGTAAGTCAAACCATTGGTATGGCTTAGGCTCATCTTTAAAGAAAAAATGGTTTTTTCCACATCATAGCAAGGCATGGTTGCAGTGTTACCCTGAAACAGCAGCATCAGCACTGCAAAAAAAAAAAAACCTACCAAAATTTAGAAAGTGTTAAAAACCTGCTAATTTTAGTACTTGCAATGCACACTACCTCCTTATTTCATGATTTATTTTTTTTCTTTTTTAAGAATAGTAGTAAACTTAGTTGCATAATATTTAATTGGGACACCCCAAGGACAAAACAAAAATAAAAATTCTTTGAGAAACTGACTCATTGCACAGTGTCATAAATAGCTAAAATAGTGAAGGCATGTGTCCATATTTACTCCTTGTCTGAAAATCAGACATTACAGGGTTTAGTTTCAAAGGTGCATAAAAATTAAAATAACCAGGGAAGCAAGAAGCAGAGGGGAGGGGTGGGCAGGCAGAATGAAGGAAAACAGGTGGTTTTCTTGCAGCTGAAAGTTGGGCCCTGCTTTCCTTGAAAGTTATTGACTACTTTCAGCAACATGGTCTCAGAATCTAGATTTTTCAAGCACCTTCAAATCAACTTCTGGCCTAAGAACGCACTGCTTCTTTTGGATTACCACTTCCAAACTGCAAGACTGCTGCAAACATCAGGTACTGACAAATAAGCTACTCTCTCTGCTAAGCCATCAGCAGAGCTCTGGGGCAATTCCTCATCTTGAACAGAAAAGCCATCTCCTGTTGCAATAATAGGAGGGATTCCTGTATTCTTGTTCCAACTTCCATCCTTTCTGTTACTTGGGTTAATTAATTTAAAAGTCAGAGATGAAATAAAACAAAGTCATCAGTAGTTTGTAACAAGTATGCTCATGACCACTTATCATGGAGCGCGTGGGCAAACACACACCAAAAAACCAGACTCACCACAGTGTAACTAACTGCTTTGGCAGCCAGTGCTTCATCAGTCCTGCCCCTGGTCAGACTGTGACACTTCTTAGCTGTATAAACAGAATCTGCCTGCCATTCTTGTACAGCAGGTTACCTATTCCTGCCTCCCAGCACTGTGTGTAGTTGGACAGCAGAGTAAACTTGTGGCTCAAGTTATTGGCAAGAATCCCCTTAAGACATTTATTACATTTTGGAAACATTAATCTTTCTCATAAGTTTAAGAACAAAACAGCAGCTGAATGCAAACAACATTGAATTATCATCTGTATGTCTTTGCCAAGATCAGTGAGGAGATGGAGTAAATCTCTATAAAAATTGGAGCTATTTGTTAATTTAACAGATTGCATAGATTAGTTACACTGTGAACAACACACTCGGGAACTACCACAGCTTTATTGACTACTGTAACATTTTACAATTCACCTCTTTGCTTCTATTATCACACATTCTTTCTGCTCCATATACTAATTACCTTTACTCCAAAATATGGATCATAGATCCACATCTAGGACACAGAATATGCTACCAGAAGTAGTCTTATGCCCAGCCCTGCTCATTACATTTTGTTCTAAACATTGTGTGGTGTTGGTTCATTCATAAAGCTTTCCCCAATAAAAGATCAACCCAACCCCCAGTAAAGTAACTGAGAATATTCTATATTAGAAAAATGATTTTAAAAATACTGGAAAAAGACTTGAAGGGTAAGGATTTTGCTCTAATGCACAATTACATCCATAGAGGCGGCACCATCAGCACTCAATCACATGCAGATGTGAAACATAAAGGTACATATAGGCCAGACTCTGGTTGTCAGTGCAACTTGGTTTCAAGTTGTCTAGAACTGAACAGTGACAGCACATGCCCAAGAAAAAAATAATCTTTCCTGAGAATCTCTGCCTTTTAGCTTGACATGGCAACATTCAGTGTCTTCAATAACTTAAGAAAAGGGTCCTTGGGAATCTCATGAAGTTCGCCAAGACCAGGTACAAGGTACTGCACCTGGATTGGGGAAATCCCCCCCACCACTGATGCAGGCTGGGGCATGAGCAGCTCCAGGGGAGCCCTGCTGAGAAGGCCTTGGGGGTGCTGGGGGATGAGAGGCTGGACATCACCCAGCAGTGTGCACTCACAGCCCAGAAAGCCAAATGTGTCCTGGGCTGTATCAAAGGCAGTGTGGGCAGCAGGGGAGGGAGGGGATTCTGTCCCTCTGCTCTCGTGAGACCCACCTGGAACCCTGCATCCACCTCTGGGACCCCAGCAAAGGAAGGACATGGAACTGTTGGAGCATGTAATGATAGGACAAGGGGAAATGGCTTTAAACAGAAAGTAGGTTTAGATTAGATATTAGATAGAAATTCTTTACTGGGAGGCACTGGCACAGATTGGGCAGAGAAGCTGTGGATGCTTCATCCCTGGAAGTGTTTAAGACCAGGCTGGATGGGGCTCTGAGCAATTTGGTCTAATGGAAAGTGTCCCTGCCAAGAGCAGGGGAATTGGAACTAGACAATCCTTAGGGTGCCTTCAAGCCCAAGCCATTCCCTGACCCTGTGATCTAGTAAAGGTTTATGTAAAGAACAGTCAGTGCATGTTATCTATACCAGACATCACCTCTGTAATCTTTTTGTGCAGCTTCTCCGTTCATCTACTGTCACTTTACAGCTTTTGATCTGTTGCTCCAGTGCCAGCTCTGCCCCAGACTCCCTGCCTTCTCCAGTTCTGTTCTTTCCATTCAGATCAGCCAGGCTTTCCCGAGAACACGTCCGCAACCCAACAACAGCTACAGAGGAGCCAGCCTGCCCATCACCTCCACTGCCAGCGGCTTAACCTGGCTGCAAGCCTGAAACTGCTTCTGCAAAAAAAGTCCTAGTCAGTCCACACTGGAGCTTGTTCAGCTTTGAAGGTGCTTTTGGAGATTTTCACTGAAACATGCACCGAATAATAGTCTTTTAAAAAGTCTGCATCTATCAAGCTAGGACAGATTTTAACAAGAACACCCTGACACAGTGTTTGACAAGGGATTAACTGTAATGCTAAGCTTGGGAAACTGCTACAGCAGCTAAAAGAAAATGGTTATCAGGATTTATTTTTTTTTTTTTTAATGGGCAAAATACACCTTCTCCTCACCTCAAATGGCTTAGATTCTCAGACAAAGTTGATCTGAGTAAGGAAGCATGCACAGAAGAAAAACCAGCTTGAGCCATTTGACAATAGTATAAGGAAGCAGACAGAAACTTCTTATAAATGGAGATATTAAAAAATTTTGTATCGGCTACTATACAAATGCTTTTGCCTGCAAATATTCAGCTTTTTTTCAACAGCATAACTAATTCATCAATTCAAATCCCTAAAGTTCTTGAGAACTTTAAAGTAAGTTCTCAAGTGTAAGCAAATTATCAAATCAGCTGGGATTCAGGGACCCCCCAAAATTATGGACAAATAAATTGTTTCTATTTGTGATCAGGAAAGGAGCTTAGCTACTAAGTTGCCTTCATGAGCAACAAAGTTCTGGAACACAAGAAGTCACAGCTGTTAATAGTTTCTGTACTTTTTCCCCTCTCCCCTTCATTATTAGAGGTAAGAAAAAATAATTTTAATTTATCACCTCATGTTCACGCATGTCTTGAACACAGCAAGCTTAGCTATTCTAAGCTAGTACTTCTGCAAGCTCTAAACCATTGCCTTCATGCACAAGTGCATTATGTATTTAGCAAAGCAGCTTCTATGTTTAGAAGTCTCAGAACTTCACAAATTGTGTAACTGGTATAGTACTGAGTAAGGAAAAGGGACAAAGGTATGACGTAGTGAAATAAGCCTGGGAACAAGCAACTAAACGTCTTTCCCAAGACAGATGCTGTATTTATGGGTTGCAAAAAATATGGTATTTGAGGGAAAAAAAAAATTGGTTCTTCTACCTAATTTGAAAGAATAAAATGCTTATCAAGTGACAGTAAATTGCAGCTATCCAAAAAAGCATTCTACACCTACAGATGAAGACATCTTTTTCTAAGAAAAGCAGGCTAATGCACCAGCTAGGCAACATCAAATATAGCAAGATCTCAGAACATCTCATGTAAACAGACCGTCATTCCTGAATCTAAATACTGAGTCCTCACTCAGTTTTGTCAAACAGCTGTGTTTTATAGACAGAACCAGTGAACTGTGTTGTAGTCACTGTCTTAAACAAAACACACAACAGCCCCCCTTGGCAGTGAACTTACCTGCTTGTCATTAACAGAGTACTTTTCTATTTCCTTCTTTGTCTGTAACAGCTTGTTCTGAAATGGACACAAAGACAACTGAAATGTAATTCTGAGAGCAATATTAGTCCTCAGTACTTCAGTAAGGCTTAAAAACATCCCCTAAAGCCCCCCAAAGTTACACTCAACTAGTTACAGCATTTTACTGTCATTTGGAAGACTTACAAAGAATTAATGAAAACATGAAATTTGTCAAGAACTCACTTCTCTGTTTTTCCCTTTGTGCTCTAAAGCCAGTAATGACTTCTATAGATTTAATGCTTTTGTTACATTCTACAGAGAGCACCTAAGACTGTAGGTATTGACTCTTCTCCTTTATTTCACCTCTATTTTATATTTATGTGATATTACCTAAACCCTCCTGCAGAATAATCACTGGCATGAAATCATCAAACCCCAAAAAGCTGGTTAATTCAAAGTGCAATAACCCTTTCAAGAAAAATTCTCGTAATTCTGACTACATTCAAGGTTATGTACAGTAAGTTCTCAAGTGTAAGTTAATCAAATCAGCTGGGACTGAGTGACCCCAAAAAATTAAGTGTTTTTGTTTCAAAAATAATTAGGGGTTTTTTGCAACAAATAAAACAACAGCCTGCTCTGAAAACAGAGTAATTCCAACTAAATTCTGCACACTTTAGTTAAAAAAACAACAACAAAACCAATAAAACAACAACACAAAAACCCCCCAACAAATCAATGCTTTTTCTTCCGAAGCTGTCTTGATGAAGAGTTTTTCCAGTAGTAAAAAATATGATATAATGCCGATTAGACACCAGCAGTGTTTGTGAATTTTAGAGATGATTGAACTCCCACATGTCACTGTAGGCAAAATCTACATTTTTAACCAATATAGGCGTTTCCTGATTTTGTGCTCTGGGACACATCTAGACATAACAATGACATAACAAATGACAACAACAAAAGCAATAGCATTGGCAAAGTTTTAAGGCAAGCTAATCACAAATTCCATGCTAGGCTATGCTTCTTAAAAAGGCAGCCACCTCTGCTATTCAAATGCATTAATTTGGAATGCTTAGGGTCCCCTTAAAATATACACTGAAGAAGTATGAATAATCATCATTTCCTGAATTATTCCCCACCTATACAGATTTTGTGAACAGTTTAGCCCATAAAATTTCACACACACTTACCTCATCCCTTGCAATCAGTGTTATGAAAGCACCTTGCTTATAGCATTCAATAGCAATACATTTTCCAATCCCACTGGAGCCTCCAGTTACCTAGAAGTTATTTGAAAATATCAGTGTTAGTCCACTCTTCTCATCCCTTCTCACATTTGTATGAGTCAAATCACATGAAAATTCTAAAAACATACTGAGATTAAAATATCACCCGATGAGATACAAGGAGATGCACTAAAGTTAGCTTACTTACTCTAGGAGTATGAATGAAACATAAGATCTGAATAGATCAGTGAGCCTTTGTTTCTACCCTAAAACCAGTTTTACCTCAGTTGTAATTTTTGGCCATTTCTGTTGTCACTTACGCCTAGACCACTCCCACGTGGGTGCTCTCACATGTTCTGGAGGCTACATTTAGAAGTTTTCAAATTACTATTAATGCCATGATAGTGCCATTACATACTGCCCTTTCATACCTGCCCACAGCAGAAATTACTTGTAAAATCAGCATGGCAGATTGCTTTCTGGAGATGTCATTATGTAAACATAAATAGAAAACACCTTCTTTCTTACTAAAAGAAAAAATACCATTAATTCAACAATTGGCCCTTTGTAGTGTATTTTTCAGTCTCCCAGTCAGAACCTTGAACTTCCCCCATTCCATCCTGCTATTTCATTTTAGTGGGGATGACAGCACCTAAACTTCCATAACCTTTTTTTCTTCCTCCAAGCCATAACACCTGGATAGTCTTATACACAAACTGGAAGTTAACATTTCATTAAAATTAGACAAATACAGGTTGATGGCTACAGTCCTGCATCATATGCTACAGGAATGTACCCTGACAAATCATACCAACATACAGGTGAAGGTCACCCTACCACCTCTCTCTCACTACCCTCAATAAACCTACTTATGAACTGCCTGTGGAACAAGATGGAGATAACAATCCTGACCTCTCTTTTTGAATAAAATAAACATGTCTGCCTGACATCTTTAGGCGACTTGGATCAGTCTCAGTCTGCATGTGCCTTTGGTTATAGGACACTGGTGTCTTCCTTACATACCCAAGTTATTTAAATTTTCCTTAAACAGCATATTAAAAGTCATATTGAGAAAATTTTGGAACAAAATACCTAGAAGCAGTTATTTTAAAGAAAAACACATTGATTAAGTGAGTTCAGAAGAACTGGAAGAAAATGAAATTCAGATTTCTTCAGAAATCATCACCTTTTGCTCTTTATCAAAACATTTCCAAAGACTCCAGCAAAAGATTACCTCCTTCATTTTAAGAAAATAGAAGCCAGTCTATTCTATCTAGTATTACAGCAAAGATCCCAATCTCTAACTACACATCCTATCAAAAGCCTTGTGTTGTCTCCTCATTAGGCAATGTCTCAGTTTTGTTTTCAGAGGTGCATTATCCTCAAAATTCTTTCCACTCCCAGAGGCAGTAAAGTCAGAAGAGTCAGAAGTACATTCCCATGAGTCACTAAACTCTTCTTTCATTTGAGTATTTTACCACTAGCCTTCAAAAACAGCTTAGTGCAAATAAAATAATCCCAGCAAAGATTTACAACACAATCCACAGTTTCTGACTGGCTCATCTTGAGCTGCAAATGGGCCAAGAATGGGTGTAGCACTCACAAAGACTAATTTGGGCTCTTTAGGCTTCCTCTGTTATTAGAGAGAACTGCTTCAGATTAACTTCTAACTGACTCTGCAAGATCAGCTTCACACTACCCAAACCTTTGAGGATAACTGCAAGATGCGTGTCCCGTTCTAGAAGCACAAAACCCTGTCTGAAGTATTATGAACCAACGATGACAGCTTTCAGAGTAAATAAGTCCATAAGAGTGTGAATGTTAACTATTGATTTGGGACTTGAGCACAACCACAAAATTAATGTAATGCTTTATGACGGAAAGAAGTAATAAATACACTGAAATTCTTAAAATAGATTGCAATATTTCAATATGTATCTGAAAAGATTAAAATAGTTTGATACATTCAGGTAGACCTCAGATCCACAGTACGTATCAGATGCTTCTACAGGTCAGCAGCAGGTACACCAGCACTAATCAGTGGGCATGGAAGACTGTTCCAATTCCAATTTTTGGTGAGACTGCTGATTGTTACCAGCACAAACTGGTGACTATCAGGAATGGGTCAACAACACCAGTGCTTGAGGAATTCTCTGCAGGTGAAGGTACTGACACCAAGCCCCCAGCTTGTCAAACAACACTAACACCCATTTCAGAAAGACAATGTCTGAAGTCATGAAAAAAACAGAAAAAGGAAGTTTTTATTTACAGTCACACCCAAGAACACTGGATAGAGCTTGTGTCAGATTGGTCAGTGATAAAGTGCAGTATCAGTTAACAGGGAACTTTAGCATTTAGGCTGGAGGCTGCTACAAGCATGTTGGAGGTTGTTACTCATTGCTCAGGAACATTCACCATAAGTGCTAGTGTAATAGCAAAGAAGAAAAATAAAAATCCCCAACACCAGTGACCTAAGCAAATCTGTGAGGTCTGTTAGGTATGTAAGATCCTAACACATGCCCAAAACTAACACAGGAGCACACACCTACTCTGTTAAAGACATTATTACAATTGCGCTTGTGGCCAATGGTTCTACACTGCTACTGCATTTCCATTAATTTCAGACATTTGAATTGCCCCCAATCCCATTTTTAAATTTTACTGTAACTCAGAGGGGTTACCAAAAATAAAAATCTGGCCGCTGCAACTCAAATCACAGATTAGTATTTTGACAAGAAGGCACAACTGAAACTTAGTATTAATTCAGATGTTCAGAATGCAATACTACCAACCCTTGAGCAGTGTTACTAAGCCATTTCTATGCTTAAAAAGAACTAGGTACCAAACTAGGTATGCTAAAAAGTACCCGGCTCCAACTTCTTGATCTATGATCCTTGATAATAGAGTTCAATTTTAAAGAATCATAGGATTTATTTCCCCCTTGTAAGTGGAAATGGTGGGATGAGGTATGGAAAATTGATCTGTTAGAGCTTTAAATTTGAGATACTGGAAATTCACTTCAATTGGTGAGACAGTCCAAATCCAAATTAGCTGAACTGTCATCAGAAATGATACAAATCAAGACTTGATATGGCCTCTCCAATAGAACTCAATCACTTTCACTTTGAACTGGACACAAGCTGGCAATGCTTTTAGACACTGCTCTGATAGAGGTTCTACTGAAACAGAATGTGACTTTAATGTGCTCTAAGTGGTTAGCACACCTGACTAGACTCAAAATGACCTCTTGTCGAACCACTCGGATGTGTCCAAACCACAGATCTTATCAGCCCCAGCACAGGGCTGACGGTGTCACCAAGACACGGGTGACACCAAGATGGGCCTTCCATCAAGCCAACCACAGCTACCAGGCCAGGCTCTGCACAGAAGTGGGGAAATTACTGGACTAGAGATGACCCATGTGCAGGAGGGTTTGGCACATGGGTCGTAGTTCATCCTGAACTACGTCCACATGGAAAAGGGCCCTTGTCAAGCTCAATGGGAGACAGTCCCTAGCAGGTAACATCTTTCCATTTCCTGCCATTGCTAATCCAAACTTTAATAAACTGCATTCGTAACACTGAGACCTCAAGGGTTTGGGTCCTCCTCAGAAATTCAACTTGCTTCTAGAAAGATTATGGCTGAAACAAGGGGAGAGGATTAGTATTAATATTTAGGCGAGGAGCTTTTAAACATCACTCAACAACTTTTGTAGAGAAACTTAAGAGAGAGAGAGCATGTAGAGAGCAGGTGTAACATACCTGACAAAAGGCAATCAAATGTGGTCCGAGTGAGCTTGATGCAAATGCAGCAGTGGTAACTGCCTTAGCCTATTTTCATATTCCTGTCTACTGTTACAGCCAGCTACCAAAACAGTAGCTTATTCCCACAGAATCTGACATGCACTAATTTGTAGCCTGAGCCCAAAGGAGAGAGATAAAGCCAATGGCAAAATAAGAAATTTATAAAACTGCCCTCTGAATCTCAAAGCACAAAGAAGTTCAGCACATCTCTACAGCACAAAAATAACTTTTACACCCTTTCTTTGAGAATGTTTTCCTAATCATACCAGAAGTTATAAAGTATTAAGCATCTAAGAAGCATCTTGTTTAAAATAAGCTAAACCCAATGCCTGAGCCAATTCAAGAGCAGAGAAAGCCATTACCATTTAATGGTGCTAGCTGCAATAAAGAAAATACATAGCAGATAAGGGAGGAAGGGGGACAGGGGGAGGGGGTGAGGAACCCACAGGATTAGACGATGAGTAATTTGGAACTCTCTAGACTCTCACTCTGAATAGCACTCCTATTATTTTCTAAGAAAAAAGAGACTCTTATAATTCTATGATTTTTCCAGAAAGCATGTCTGGCCTAACACAGCAAGGGCTTCCATCATGCAAATGGCTGTGGGAGAAGACAAAGGAAAAAAGAAACCCCAAGTTTTCTGCTTCAAATTCCTATCCCAAATGGCAGCCAGAGCAAGTTATTTAGTCGTAACTCGGGCATCTCCTAACCATAACTGCTAGAAGTAAAGAGAAATAATTTTTCTGAAGGATTAGAAGTGAAGAGAATGCTGACTTAAGTTGAAAATTCACTAACAGCCTCTGAAATTGCCCAATGACCTTCCTTCAGAAATGTAACAGATATAGTTTCATTATACTTTCAACAGACCCCTAGAAAGAAATGTTTCTAGGGAAGACTTACTTTTTCTGCTTCAGTAAAGCAATTTATTCAGGTATATTCTGAAAAATTATAGTGTGCAACGACAATCACTTGCCCTCTTGAAAGGGCTCAACCAGCTACAGACGCAACTTACAGGCCATTATTCTTTTATTTCTTCCAATAGTGGGTTTAACTGAGGCTGGATGCTTGAGCAGATTTTGATATTTTTCTGCGAGGAGACTGCAAAAAAACCCTTACATAATGTTAGGGTCCTTAAATATTTTCATGAAGTCTCTCAGTCATTTCAGTAACAGAAAATACTTACTTTAATCACATGCTTATGATTAAAGAATTCACTGTACACACACAACATGGAAAGTCTTCTTGAACAGTATTTCTGATTTACATTATTATCATCCAATACTCTTCCTTATGCATGACATTAGGGAATCTTAAACCCACAAGTACAAGTGTCCAGCATTATTAACAGCACCTGCACATCTAAGAACTAGTGACCTCCAAACCAACTGTTCCATATTTCATTAGTTTGCATAAACACTTTAGGAGCGTAACTGAAGTGAAAATAAAACAAGCAGTTCTACAAGTGGTGACATCGATAAAAGCGTTTGCCGGTAGATTTTCATTTGTATCATCAAGTTCAATATATCTTACAGCCTTTTTCTTCATCAATATATCTATAAAGTTAGTTTTCTAGTTGAACCCCTAATTTTATAGGACTTGCAGGAATACTGTTTTCCAGACTTCCTCTAGTACCAAACTGAGCTTAAACTGCTAATTTGCAGAAATGGTTACAGGGAGGCTTCTCCAACAAGAAGAGTCTCTTCATTTTCAACGTGAACTTGTTTAAATGGACCCTTTCGATCAGAAGAGCCAGCAGAGTAGCTTTTAAAGAGTTTAATCACTATACAGAATGAACAAAACTGCATGTAATCGCTGCACATATAAATAAATAAAACCAAGAAAGAGCCGTAACCCAAGAACCTTAATGCAACCTCGAACACACCTCACACACAATATGATGCTGTAAAGCCAGTTACAGCACCCAAGTTAACACCTACTTCATAAAGCAACTTGGGAGCACTGTTGCAACTTGGAAACATCTTAATCATTCTGGGGACAGCTCCATCCTCCGAAGAGGAACTCCAAAAAATAATGGTGAAAAAAACAAACCAAAACTACTCACAGCAAATTTCAAAAACATTAAACTGCAGCTTCTCTGCACAATACATTGGAGATAAACTAAGAAAGCTGATTCTAGGACGCAAAATCTTTTGAACTGCTTAACTCATTTGCTGCCATGTGGTCAAATTCACTACTTTGTGATCCCTCTGACAGCACCTGGGCAGTATTTCCCCCTTCTTCCATCTCCCTCTTCCCAAGCCATGTACTCATACAACTTCCAGTGATGTACTACTCATGGACTCTTTCAACAGCACGCTCTTCCAAAGACTTCCTTTTACCATCTTGTCAAAATATTGCTCAAAGACATCCATATCAATGCGCTTAAAGATGAAAGGGCGCCCAAGTGTCATCTGACCACTTCCTTTGTATTGGTTTTTCCATTTCCTCATATCTGACTTGGTTTTTTAGACCAAGGAGATCACAGATTTGGCCTTTGGTTTATACGTGTGTACACACACCACTCCACTACCCTGGCAGATGCTAAAAGAAAATAAAACTCGAGGTAACCGGTGGCTTGGAGAGTACAAAAGGAATGTCTCAAAAAGCCAGCGCTGAGATTGGAAGATGGTGACTCAGACCATCGCCTTAAGCCAACCGGGACACACAGCGGTTGTCAGAGCCATCGGGACAGGTCATTTCCTTATCATCAGGGACTTGTGGCTCCCGGTGTTTTGGTAGCTCGGGGTGCCACTGCCAGCTTTGCAGGATTCCTCTCGGACCCGCG